TATTCTGCCTGCTCCGGACCAGTCTTCGTAGAATCGTCATAACTTTTGATACAACTGTTAGATTGAGCTGAAATTTTGACACCATACAGAAGACATCCTGATCTACAACTTTCATGTTTTTCACTTTTTCAGATTCAAAGTGGATCATGGTCAAAAAGGCAGAAAACCGAGGTACTACTACAAAATGGTACGCTATAAATACTCCATTAAAATGCCCTTTAGCTTCCTCTTAAAAAATCCAACACTTAGGCTCCAATTTTGACCTTTTTTCCTCCCAAATGGTCATTCCTACAAAATAACATCAAAACACACAAAACGAACAAAAATGAACATAAAATAATTGAAAACTTACAATTTCATTAAGCCGAAAGCACTCAATTCGTAGGTATAAAACCCACTCATCATTAAGCAATCTCAATTATAGAGTAGGGACCACTCGAGCGATCTCAAGATTCCTTGAGCGGCCTGAGGGGCGACCTACAAGACGATCCTGTCTCTCCACTATCCCAAGTCTTTTAAAGACCATTCTAGCAAAAGCTAGCGAACATAGGGCGGTCCCTAGTAATTTTTTAGCCTAAAACGAAGCAAAAAATTAATTCTCTTGAGCACTAAAGAGTGTTGCTCAAGAGGGATCCGATGATTGTTCAAATCTATATTTTTAAAACACAAAGAGATTTAGAAAACATTTTCTTTGAAAATCACCTAAGATTCATACACGGATCAACACTGATTTCATTTTAACACTAATAATTCTACGTCTAATAAATTAAACCAAAGGTTCTTAGGTCTGTAAGGACTAAGGTCATTAACTTTGTCCTAAGTAAGAAAGTGCATACAGAGAGTTTTTTTGATGTAGTTTGAAGCATGATTTCCTTTTTTCCATTTGAATCTTTCAAATCTTCATCGTTGTAATGTCATGACCATAGAATAGGTTGAGATTTATAAAAAATTCACGAAATTAGTCAGTTACAATACATGATCAAATACAATTAACACATTTAACCAGTATTAAATGAATAATAATTTAAATTTTTTATTATTTTTTATCAAATATGGACACGAATCTGAAAAGTGTTATTGACACGAATCTAAGAAGTGTGTTTTGATCGTCCTCGACACAACTATATACGTGGAATTACACAATGTCCGACCTAGAAAAGTGTTGAATAGGTCTTTTACATTTTAAAGCATAAATCAATGCTCAGTTAGAGCTATTAATTTCAATTACAAATTAATTAATGAATTAAAGTTCAATCAACCCCTTTTGGATGAACAAACCCTTTAAATAAATGCAAGAATGTTCAATTCAACAATCACAATCAATCAATAAAAATCCATCATCTTATCCCTTGAATATCCATTCCACCAATTCAACAACCACAATGATGATAATTCATGATATAACAGTCAAACAATCATATCATCAAACACGTGGTTTATGTGTGTGAGGAATTGCACGTGTGTGCAAAATAAAGCAAGAGATCAACAACCACAACACAAAACAAATTTAATGTGAAAACTCTTCCAAGAAAAACTACAGGACCACTATTGGTCCACCTAAACCTAATTTACTATACTCAAAATCAAATTATAAGATCCAAAGTCTTATGCCTCAACAAATGGTTAGAAACTTTCCTCCCCATATCTTCCCTTTTGCGGTCTTGAGTACTAACTTCAAAGGGTGAATCGAGCTCCACGATCTGACTTCTCATCTTTCGATCTTCAAGGACTCCTTCCAAGATCTACTCCTTCACACCTATGTGGGTTTGGTGGATTCTATTTAAGGTGTAGAAGTTTAGCATGAAATCAATCAAGATAGATTAGGCCTTTGGATGCTTAGGAATTTCTAGTGTTTGTTCTTGATTCTCTAGTTGTTAATTCTAGCTCCTAGAGGCTTATGGCGAGTTTACCCTAGTGAGAAAGCATGCCCAAATATATAAATGGACCTCATAAATAGAGTTCAAACTGTGAGTGGCGGTTATCATTGGAATAAAACAAGGATCTGGAGCAGGAACTACTCAAGCTATGTGCGGGCTCGAGCCGTCTAGAGAGCGACCAAAGGACAGTTTCCTTTGTCCAACTAATTAGCCTTTCTCCATTTTTTCTTGAGTGTTTCAGAGCCTACTCAAGTCGTAGGCAAGCAAAGATTGATCCCTACTGTTTTTAAGCCTAAAACGAAACAAAAACTTGTCTTATTGAATTCAAAGTGATGTTGCTAAACAAGGATCTGATCCACGATTCAATCCATATTTTCAAAAAATATTTAATATTTTAAAAATATTTTTCAATAAAAGTCTTTAGAGTGATGTATGTAATTGTACTAAATCTAATTATTAAAGAGTAATGTTATGCTGACCAAATTATTACCCAATTTTTTTTTATCTCAAATCAATGCAGGTGGTTAAATTAGTGAGGTCTACTAACTCTACTAAATATTCAATGCATAAAATTTTGACACATCACTTGGGATTCAAGATTTGATAAACAAATTTGTGCAGCTTTATCCATTATTAAAGCCCAATTAGTTGAAGTAAAAATACCCAGAGTAACTTAAGGTTTTTACCTTTCCTAAGCTCGAAGAACCTTGAGAAGTTTTCATAATGTGAGTTGTAGCTTAGACTTCTTACTTTTTCTAATTTGGATATTTACCTTGGTAGCTTCATGATCATAGATCTAATAGAGATTTACATTGTGACCTCACATAATTAACCAATTACAGTAAATAATTACCTACTATATATATTCGGTGAACTTCTAGATTATGTAAAAACTATAGATATAGAAAGATAATGTAGTTATAATTTTAAATTTTCAATTCAAGAGTTACACCAATCAACCTAAACACGGCGCGATATAAACAAGTCAGATTAACGTCAAAACATTTGACACGAGTTGTTAAATAAGTTATGTTAAAGTTGACTAGTGCTTAATACAAATTCGAATTAAACGACCTGAACATAACTCAATTACCACCTCTAATCCAACCTGCAAGTATTTGATCAAGAAAGAGTAAGCAACAGCCTGGAAATTCCAACACCCAAGGATGAGACTAGCCAATATACATAATCATCGTACCTACACCATTCTTAATGTAGTTTTTCCTTGTACCAAAAAATTATCATACTTTGCACGGTGAACCGTAAAGATACTAAGATAATAGCTACACAATTACTCGGGAACAAATTCACAAACCTTGAAAGCATCGTCACCTTCAACCAGCTATTAAGTTATTAGTACCCATGACATATATGAGAGAGAGAGAGAGGGAGAGAGAGGCCGTACGTTTTGAGAATCCAAATATTACAAATGATAATCTTTCTAAGCAACATTTGGCACATGGAGCAAAAATGGAGGAAGATGATGCTCTAAAACAGCCAAGAGCTCTCTTCCTTGGCTTGCCCTCTCCACTGCTTCACCTCCCAGCCTTCTTGTGGCTTCCACAAGCTGGCCCCTAAGCCATTGCGATAACAAGGAACCACCTGTCTTGACACACTCCCTATACAGTGGCAGGTATGCTATGGCCACCCTCAGAGGGGCCGGGAGATCCCTTAAGCAAATAGGAGATTCACCCCACTTCAAAATTCTCACCATGTTCAGGTAATGTTCTTGTCCTTGCTTCAATCCATCAGAGAAAGCTGCCTCTGACCAGTGTTCTCGAAGAAAAGCTCTGAGCTCAGGAGCAATAGCCTCATCACTAGACCCAGCAATGCTGTCTGCAACCGCATAGGTAGCGGCAGGATCACCGAGGAAGTCAGACTGGAGGAGAAATGCTACCCCATCAAGAGAACCACCACTTCGTTCACCCGCAGCCTTGAGAATTTCAATGCTAAGGGCTGCAAGGACATGCTGAGGAACGTGAGGCAGGAGATAAGCAGCAATCTCAACTTGACTACTTGAAGTGGCAGCTGTAAGGGCAAGGCAGAGTTCCATGTCCCGGCAGCCCCTCTTCACAAACCACTGGACTACTTGCATACAACCCTTCTCAGCCGCTCTCATCAAAGGACCCAAGAAAGCTATGGCATTCCCCTCGTCCACTAGACATTCCATGGTGCCAATCTTGCCATAGTGTGAAGCAAAGCCCAAAGCCAGGTCAACATCAACATCCAAGCTATTCCTTTGAGCAATCTAAGAATATGAAACACAAATTTCCCAACAAATTCCACCACTAAATGTCAGACTATAAAGGCCTAAAAACATTAAAATTTAAAACCAACAAACTCTGTGTAATTAATGCTAAAAGGACCCTACATTTCAGGTATCACAAGCAGGATAAAAATGATGTTATCCTACAACAAATCAGACAGCATGCATGCAATTTCCAACAGTACTGCTTGAAATGGCAATCGCAGAAAAGCAACATGCCTTAGTTACCCAAAATTGCTGTATCAATGGCATAAACAGAATAGCAAAAAAGAAAAGCAGAAAAAGCATCCATCATCGTAGGCCCTGTCACAATGCAAACACCACCCCACCCCCCCAACAAAAAAAAAAAAGGGACTCTCCAAGATGCATTTTTCACCCATACTTAAATGGTACTGTGCCATCGAGCATCTATTTTCAAGCCGATGAGGGGAAAAAGGGCAGGAGGGATAAGCAGGAAAATAAGGAGAGAGGAGCAAGAATACATGGGAATAAAAACTGAGCTTACTTCAAATCCAGGATTCCAGATCCTACCCAGCACTTGCAGTGATGCTAAAGCCAGTTGTATATAAAAGAATAGAAGTATCATGTATGTGAGAAAAAGTGGAACAATCTCAGTCACATTTTGGATTTGTTAGATTTCCTATTTAGAGATTTCCTAATTGTTTGTTCTTTCATGTTAAGAGTATTAGGGTATTATGTGTGAACAGTTAAGAGTATTAGGGTAGTATGTGTAAATATAAGAGGGTATATTCGTCTTTCTGATTATTGTAAGTTAACTATAAATACAAGTGATGTATGAGAGCTAGGTTAAGCTTTTGACCTCTCTCTGTTCCTCTCTAATATATGGTGTTAATCCTTTACACTTAACATGGTATCAAAGCATGAATAATCCTAAATATATTTTTGAATAAATTAACCCTAGTGGTTGTGGTTGTGTACTGTTGATCATCGAATCTACAGTGGTGGTGGCAATACAGTTTTTGTGGTTGTGTACTATTGATCAAAGCGACAGTCGTGGTGGTGGTGATACAGTTGTTGTGGTTGATCCGTGGTGGTGGTGTCAGTAGTGTTGGTGGTGTGGTACTGTTGACCATCGTTTGCCGTCGTTTGGTGTGTTTGTCGTGGTGGTGTAGTTGTGGTGGTGTATTATTGATTTCTTCGTCGTGGTGTAGCGTCGTTGTGGTGTGGCCATCATGGTGGTCTATCGTTCGTTGTGGTGGTCGAGGCGCAGCTGAAGACTAGGGTTTACTGAAACCTTAATCGCGAAGAAGAAAAGTTCCAGACCTGACTTCACAGGTTTGAATAAAAGACCCGAACTCAAACCTGAGTCAATTGGTTTAAATTGTTTTAAACCCAAGTCCAGCCCACTTCGGTCCAAACCCAAATTTTTTTTTTTTAAACCCAAGTTCAACCCACGATCCAACCTAGACTGGTTCAGTCAATTTTTACTCCAGTTCAGTGCTTCTGTGGTCCAGTTCAGCATTCTAGCAGACTCCAGTGGTCCGATTCAACTTCCAGCAGACTCCAGTGGTCCGATTCAACTTCGAGCAGACTCCAATGGTCCGGTTCAACTTCCAGCAAACTCCAGTGGTCCAGTTCAGTGCTCCTGTGGTCTAGTTCAGCCTTCCAGCAGACTTCAGTGGTCCAGTTCAATCTTCCAACAGCCTTTTCTTCTCTAGTTTAGCAGTACAATAGTTGATCTGTGTCCTGTTCAGCGATCTACCCATAGTAAGACTCTTGTTTGCTATTTGCTCTACTGTTATGGAACCGAAGCAAGTTACCAACTCCCTTACTCCATCTTTGCCACCTGTCTCTACTGCTCCAACTCTTCTCAATGGTTCGATGACTTCAGACACTGGGTTGGTTACTATTACACAAGAGGAGTATGCCTAATTCCTATCCTAGGCTGTTCTATCTCCCTCTACTACTACTTCTGCCTAGTTAGGTACTGTTTTCACTTGTTTATTGTCCTCCACTCGTAGTTCCTACATCATAGAATCTAGCGCTTCTGACCACATGACTGGTGCATCTAGTGTTTTTTTTACTTATCAGTCTACTACTTCCACACGTAGTGTTACTCTTGCTAATAGTACTTGCTTTAAAGTTTCAGGTTTTGAGACTACTCACTTGAGTCTTGATATGTCCCTATCCTCCGTGTTATGAGTTCCTCAAGTTCCTTTTAGTTTACTTTCCATTAACAAGATTACTCATTCTCTCAATTATTCCGTAAGCTTTTAGCCCTCTTATTGTGTATTTTAGGATCTCAAGACGAAGAGGAAGATTAGTATGGGGCATGAAACTACTGGTCTATATTACTTTGATTTTAATTCACCTATTCGGGCTCTAAAGACCTCGTTGCCTCCTTTTCAATGACATTGTCGCCTTGGACATCCCTCTCTCCAGAATCTGAAGAGTCAAGTTCCCAATATTAGTTATGTGTCGTTTTTATCTTGTGAAACTTGTTAACTTAGTAAGCATCACCGTGTGTCCTTTCAGTCTAGAGTCAATAATTGTGTGTCTAGTCGATTTGAGTTGGTACATTCTGATGTATGGGATCCAATAAAGAATATTTTATCTAATAAATATCTTTATTTTATGTCATTTGCAGATGATTAGTCTCGTGTAACCTGGTTATTTCTGATGAAAGCTCGTTCTGAATTATTCTCTATATTTGAGACCTTTCGCAAGGAAATAAAAACTCAGTATAATTGTCGTATACGTATTTTACGTTCTGATAATGCTCGAGAATATGAATATGATCTTTTTTCAGCGTATCTTAATAAAATTGACATTATTCATCAAACTTCCTTTGCTTACACCTATCCACAGAATGGTGTTACTAAACGCAAGAACCATCAATTGTTGGAAGTCACCCGTGCCCTATTATTTCAGATGAATATTCCCCGATATTTTTGGAGTGATGCTATTCTTACTGCTTGTCATCTTATTATTCATATGTCATCCTCTATGTTAAATGGGCAAAGTCCACATTCTGTTCTTTTTCCTAGTAAGCCCTTATTTTTTCTAACTCCTAAGGTTTTTGGATGTATTTGTTATATTCACAAATTGGGTCCTAGGTTTGATAAACTTGACGCTCGAGCAACCAAATGTGTGTTTCTTGGATACTCCCGCACACAGAAGGGGTATTGTTGCTATAGTCCTTCTCTGCGACGATACTTTACTAGTGTCGATGTCACGTTTGAAGAATATGTTCTATATTTTTCGGCACCTGCTCAACCTTTGGATATGAACTTTGGGTCGTCTCTTGTACCATTATCTCTTCCTTCATCTTCAGATATTTCACTGCCTACTATGTTACCATCTACTTTACCTCTTCATGTATACTCTCATCGTCCTCGCCCATCGACTGAGGTGCTCGTTTCGTCTTCCTTGCCGCCTTCTGATCCTGGTACATTAGGTAATTTAGACTCTTTACCTATTGCTCTTCGAAAAGGTACTCGTTCGTGTGTTACTAATCATCTCATTGCTCATTTTGTTTCATATGATGTCTTGTCTCATGTCTTCTCTTTTTTACCTCTCAATTATCTGCTATATCTATTCCTAAGCACTTACAAGATGCATTATCTGACCCTGGTTGGAGAAAACCTATGGAGGAGATAGATGTCTTACATCATAATGGAACTTGGGATCTCATTCCTTTACCTTCTAGCAAGCGAACTGTTGGTTATCGTTGGATGTATACAATTAAATTTCATCCAGATGGTTCTGTGGAGCTTCTCAAAGCCCAACTTGTTGCAAAGGGCTTTACTCAGACCTATAGTCAAAGTTGTTAGTATCGTACGATACGCGATACGTATCGTACGATACGTTACGATACAGCCCTAAAACGATACGGATCGTAGTTATGTATCGTTTTTGCGTTGTATCGTCCGATACACGATACGATACGTATCGGTACGATACGCACGATACGTGCAATTTTTTTTTTTTTTTTTTTTTTTTTTTTTTTTAAAAAAAACGACGTAGTTTTGTGCTCTGATTTTTTAAAAAAAAAAACGACAAGTGAAGACTTGTTGGCATCCGATCACAATGATGATGATGATGATGCATTTTCAATTGAAATTGAAGATTGAGTTCAAAATGGATGTTAGAAATTTGGATTAGAAGTCTCTTTGGTGTTTAAAGTTTGAATTAGTGAACTATGGTTGTGAACTTTGCATTATAATAGTAGTGGATTATGTTGATAACTTGAATAGTTGGTGGAGTATTAATGAAATGCTATATTTTTTATGAGTGTATGACTTTTTTTCAAAGGTATATATATTTTTTTATTATTTATTTAAAATTGCATCGTATCTTACGATACACGATACGATACACGATACGATACAATATTTGTATCTTACGATACGCCTTCCGATACACGATTTGATAACTATGCCTATAGTGTTAATTATGAGGAGACTTTCTCTCCTATTGCCAAAATTTCATTTGTTCGTATCTTGATTTCTTTAGCTACTAATCTTGATTGGTCATTGTTTCAGTTAGATGTCAAGAATGCCTTCCTACATAGTGACTTGGTTGAAGAGGTATACATGAAGCAGCCACCTATGTTTACTACTCAAGGGAGTACAGTAAAAGTGTATGTTGATTAAAGAAATATTTGTATGGTTTGAAGCAGTCACTGAGGGCATAGTTTGGTAAGTTTTTAGATGCAGTTTTAGAGTTTGGTCTTCTTCGATGTCAGACAGACCATTCTGTATTTCATAGACAGACGAATGTTGGATATATTCTATTGGTGGTCTATATAGATGATATTGTGATTACTGAAAATGATTCTGAGGGGATTGCTAAGTTAAAAATCTTCTTGCAAGATCGATTTCATACTAAAAATTTGAGAAAACTCAGGTATTTCTTGGATATTGAGGCGATTCGATCTAAATAGGGTATTTGTTTATTTCAAAGGAAATATGTACTTGACATGCTAGAAGAAGCAGGTTTGTTGGGTAGCAGACCGATTGATATTCCTATGGATCCAAATTAGAAACTGTTGATGAATGATGGTGCACTGTTTGAAAATCCGGGTCAGTATCGCAAGGAAGCTCAATTATCTCACTATTACTCAGTCGGATATTTCTTATGCAGTCAGTTTATGGAATGTCCCAGAGTACCACATTGGGAGGCAGTTACTCATATTCTGCGATATCTCAAATGTGCTCCTGACCTTGAACTGTTATATCGAGTTAATGAACATCTTAGAGTGAAAGATTTCTCAAATGTTGATTGGGCTAGCTCTCCTTCTGATTGGAGATCAACTACTGGTTATTGTACTTTCTTAAGAGATAACGTTGTCTCATGGAAAAATAAGAAACAATCTATGGTAGCAAGATTCAGTGCTGAGACTGATTATAGGACAATGGCGCATACGACAAGAGAGTTAACTTGGCTACTACACTTCCTTTAGGAAATTAAATTTCCGGTTCAACCTCTTTTACAGTTATTTTGTGAAAACCAGACAACTATCCATATCGCTGTCAATCTAGTGTTTCACGAGAGAATCAAGCATATTGAGATTGATTGACACTTTATTTGAGACAAGATAATAGCTGGCAAGATTATAACTCTATTTGTGAAATTTAAAAATCAGCTTGCAGATATGTTTATCAAAGTATTGAGTCGTACACGTCTTACAACAATTTGTTCTAAATTTGGATTATATGATATATATAGTCCAGCTTGAGGGGAAGTGTTAAGAGTATTAGGGCATTATGTGTGACTTGTTAAGAGTATTAGGATAGTATGTGTAAATATAAGAGGGTTCGTCTTTCTGATTATTGTAAGTTAACTATATATACAAGTGATGTATAAGAGCTTAATTAAGCTTTTGACCTCCCTTTGTTCCTCTCTAATATATCGTGTTAATCCTTTGCACTTAACATTTCCTATTGTCAACATCAAAGCCAATATAAATAGGTGTTAAGGTGTACACACCTAACATACCAATCTCATTACATTATTTCTCTCTTCTCTTCTCCTTCCCCTAAACCCTAAATTGCTTTTTGGTTTTCAACTTGATATCAGCATATATTAATTAGGGTTGGCATCTAGCTTTATTTGTCTCCCTTCTTTTCCATTTTTTCTCTTTCTTCTGGTTTGTTTTCTCTTACAGAAACTAGGACAAAGGCTTTTGTTTTCTAGTTGTGGTTGTGTTTCTCTAAATATGAAGATTTGAAGGAGTGATATCAGAGCTTCCTCATTGTGGTTCGTGGTGGCACAGTGCACAGTGTTATCTCCGATGGTAGTTTGTAGCCGATAGGTTGATCTAATGTCTCATTCTGATAAGACAAACCTTCTTGTGCTTGTCATCGTGTTCTCTTGTTGTCATACGCATGCTTCTCAATGTTGCTAGCACAATAATGGCTAGGGTTTTTTTCTGACCAGCCATCAGGGAAGATGAACACTCCCCCTAGACACACCAAAGGCTTAGGTCTCCTTTGATACTTTCTTGGCATTGAAATAACCCAGTCTAAGGAGGGTATTAGTTTATGCCAGCAAAAGTATGTGTTAGATTTACTCTCTGAAACTAGTACCCTTGGTATATGCCCAGTTAATACTCCCATGGATCCAACAGTTAAATTAAATACTAACAATGGAGATGTCTTCGAGGACACGGGACGTTATCATCAGTTGGTTGGAAAGCTGATCTACCTTACTGTGACACATCCTAACATTACTTAATGTCATCGGTGTTGTTAGTCAGTTTATGCATACTCTTCGTAAACCTCACCAGGAAGCAATCTGTCGATACTTGAAAGGAGCTCCAAGTCAAGGATTGTTATATCGATCATTGACCACCTTATCTGTTAGTGGGTTTTCTAATGTTGACCGGGCTGACTACAATAGACCTACTTTAGCTTTTGTACATTTGTTGACGCTAACTTGTTACTTGGCGAAGTAAGAAACAAAATGTGGTGGCACATAGAGGCTGAATATCGTGTCATGGCTCATAATACAAGTGAAATGTTATCGGTCCGTTTTCTACTTCGAGAAATAGGGGTTGATGTGTCTTCTCCTATGCAAATGCATTGTGACAACGAAACAACCATTTTCATTATCAGTAATCCCGTGTTTCATAAGCGCACCAAACACATTTAAATTGGTTGTCATTTCATTCAAGATATCATAATGCCAAAAGGAGATTGTCAATTCTTACGTCGACTAGTGACCAACTTGGTAATATTCTTACTAAACCATTGGCACAATCCACCTTTAGCAATTTTTGATTCAAGTTGGACATTTTTTATCTATATGCTCCAGCTTGAGGAAGGGTGTCAGATTTATTAGACTTCCTATTTAAGAGTTCCCTAATTGTTTATTTTCCCAATATGTTCTTTCTTATTGTGAACATCAAAACTAATATAAATAGGTGGCAAGTTATAAATACCTAACATAACAATCTAATTACATTATTTCTCTCTTCTCCTATTGCTTCTCTTTCCCCCCTAAATCCTAAATCCCAAATCCTAATTTGTTATTTTGTTTTCAACTATCCTCGTACAATTTACCCTCTACATGGCATGCACCATGGGCCAATATCAATATATGAGGTCCTCAGCTAGAAAGTAGAAACACTAAATGCAAATTGGAAATGATCTCATGCTAATTTTTCAAGCAAATAATTCATAGCTAAGACCACACAACCGATGCATAAAACATATTGTACCAAAGTACCACAAGCTCGATGCAAAATCTCATTATGTTGACTTGAGTTGAGATGCTTAAATTATGGATCAAATTTTTTTTATTTTTTTATTTTTTGCGAAAAACTTGTGATTTAAGTATTATCCACTATACAAGGTTGTTGATAGCTTGACATGACTTGCATGTCAATTTTGGCATTGGACAAATATTGTGAGATGATTTGACATTGCTTAAAAGTTATAGATAGTTTAACATTACTTAAATATTATTGTTTAACTCATGACTCATGCAGAATACTACTATTTTAATATTTAAGGTTGACTTGAGTTTTAAAGTGAGTTTAATATCATTTTTGATTGTGATTTATTTCGGATTGTGAATTATTTTATGGTGGAATATCATTCTATTTTTTTGCCATATTTCCATTGATTATGGTCTATGAAGCATGGATAATTTGTCAAGTATCAGATACAATACTCGTCAGATACTTGAAAGATATGTATCGAATACACATTATACGTATCTAATAATTAATAAAATATGTGGATACTTCACAATACTTCCTAACACGAAACAAGATGTACAATTTTTAATTTTAATCTATACATTCTCTTTTCGAGTTCAAATACAATACAAAATATCAACAAAATTTTATCTGATTTTGAAAACAAGTTTTTTTTAAATGTTATCTACTATTACATGTCAAAATGGATAAAAAAAAAAATGAGTTAGTTGCATTATAATCTTAAAAACAAATACTGGTAAACAAACTAACTAGTTAAATTTGATTCTAATTCCTTTAATTGGTCACACTCATTTTATGAATATATCATAATGAAACGATATTACATCTTTTTCAAGGTAAAATTAGGAATTTTATCTACTGTTAAAGAATTATTAAAAATTATAATTTTTAAATCGTTAAATAATAGTAAAATATAAAATATATTGTATTATAGACATATCCTGGTTGTATCTGTATTTTTTTTGTAAAGTTTTGTCATATCGTCGTATCCGTATCTTATTGTACCCAAATCACGAATCAGTATCCATGCTTCCTATATTATGGTGTTCAGTACACTCAAGAAAACTTATTTTGTTTCGGGGGCTAAAGTCTAGAGTGGGGTTCAAAGAAAATACAAGGAAACTAGTTATGCACATATTGTACATGTATGTTTGTTTCCTTCTTACTGTAAAGGGGTGAAATCCCTAGTGTTTTTGATTGATGCTACACCGTTGTGTATTATGTCATATAATATATCTTTTTTATGAGATCATCAGTTGTTGTCGTCAATTTTTCAAGCATTTTTACATTACATGTACAGGTATTGTCGCATGTCAAGTTACGCTTCCATCTTAGGGAAATAAAGTAGGTATCTCGTGACGGGTGTGACAATTAATTGCCCCAAAATAAAATAAACATTAGAGCATCAGATTAGCAGCATATATTCAATCAAATGTGTAAAGGAAAAACTCTTTCATATCACAAGCGTAATTGACTATTAAAGTTTGCCCTTCAGAATCTCAGATTGATAATATTACCTGCAACAAGATACGCACAAGTTCTGTGCTTCCAAAACGTGAGGCTTCAAGAAAACATTGGTTGACATTGTCTGCACCTCCCTCCACCAACATGCCCAGCAACCCTTGAATTGCAGTTGCCGATATACCTGAGGCCCAACCAGGATCAAACGAACTAGAGAAGAGAGTGAGGGGAAAGCAAGCCGCGTCAAAGGCCTCTGTAAAATCCTTTCCTGTAAGATGGTTGCCAGCAAGATCTAGGAACATCTTGAACGCAGATAACTGAAGTTGGATCTCAACACCAGAGTTATGACTCACTCTATCCCTATTTCCCTGGCAACGAGAGTGGAAACCTATGCATTTCAAAGCCCATTCAGTAAACTTCTGAACTTTGGCACCAGCTTCTGCCTTCAAAACCTCATCCCCGTTGCATTCTTGAAGGCGCTCATGCAACCTAATAAGATTATAAGAATGAAATGGTGAGATAGATTTTTTAATATTTCTTAATAGGACAGTGGTGAAATAGATTGGCACATCAACTTTACACTACAAGTACTTGACACAACATGCAACACTTGATAAAAGAAAATTGAGCTGGGAAAACAGTCAACAAAACTTTTCCTTAAACATGCATCAAATACGTCAACAAGAAATGTCAAATAGGATAACAAATACCCACACCATGCAAGGGAAAACTTTCCAAACCTAATACCTGCATATGTATAAGGTTTTGACAATTCAGCAAAGATAAGATGGTCAACTAAGTGCAAGGAGGATTTCTTTTCCTCATGCAACCTACTAGTAAAGTAAGATGCAGCATAAGCAAGTAAGATATAAAGAACAAAAAAACTTCTTAATGGCAGAGATGAAAACATACATTAAAACTTTTCTGAGCTCCAAAGTTCTTAATGTGATTACATAGGTGATCTAAGAGCGGAAATTTAAGAGGTACACAATAGTCTTATTGTCTATGGATGCTGGCCCATTCATTACAATAGAAGCACAGGGAACATTGTTTCTTATCACAAGTCTTCAACTCTTCAAATAGATTAATTTCAATTCGTAGAATTCGACAAAATGTGGGTTAATTTTATTTTTACCTTTAGTTTGGTTTAGTTTGTTTTCTTCATGGAAGAAGGTTTTACCTTTGTGCCATCACGGTTACAGTGTCTGCCAAGCTCATAGTACGGCTCTGACATGCAGAGACACAGGAAGCAAGGAAAGAAGTCCTAAGAGCAGCTCTGGTGAAGTCATAAGCACCGTTGACGATGATCTTCTTAATTATCCCAGTGATCCCATATAATTCCTGCTGTGTGCTCAAAAACCAGATTGAATCCAATGAAATACACAAGGCATCATTAAGAGTCTGTGAATCTGCAAGCAATACGAGACTCTCCGCAAGTTCCCAATCGTGAGAACTCACAGCACCTTGAAACATTCGTCCCAACTCAATCCTGTCTTGTCTACTGAGTCTCTTCTCATGCCCAACTGTGTCATTTTTTCCGAGCTCAGAATATTCGGTAGGCAATCTCGATTTGAATTTCTTTGTGCCAACACAACTACAACCTCCTCCCCCTCCTGACATTATTGGGTCTTCCCTTGAGAACACCACGTGCCGATCGCTTCCCTCACCTTTTTCGGATGAGAAAACTGCAATCTCGTTCGTTGGATTTTCAATTCTAGACACATCAGTGTCCATTTCAGCGCACTGAGGGTCTTTCAGATTAGTATCACTCGTCATATTCAATCTCTAATCACGAAAAGAAAAGCTCTGTCAAATACCTTAATTCTTCCGAGCAGCACCGGATAGATGTCCCTGAAAATTGGAACCAGCACTCTTTTCTTCAACTTGAGGGAAAACTCTCTTCAAAACCTGAATTTCATGTTCTCAAACAAAACCAACAGCCTGGTGCAACAGTAGTGAAACAGCAATTCTCTTCCCCTCCTCACTCCGGCCGAAAAAAAACAGATTGACCAAAAAAAACATAATTCCAGAGAATTTAGAGACCAACCCCCAACTAATGAAAGAAGAGCAGAAAATTAAAAACAAAAAAACACAAAGAATGGACCCAAGAAAGAGGGTAAAATGAAACGATATAACTTTTTCTCCAAATCCCCCTGTTCCACCAAATGATCTAGATAAATCTGTCCAGAAAGGATATCAAGCCATCCGAACAGCACAGAAGCCCGTATCATCAGCAAACCCCCCACCCCCAAAAAAAAAAAAAATCAAATCCTCCACAGGAAATCGATTCAGTGCCAAAACTAGATTACCAAATTTCCCGAAAATCATAAACAGGAACCAAAAAGAACACAACTTAATTTGATAACTAGATACAGGAATCTGCCTGCATCAAACACTGAAAGAAGAACAAGAAAAACAAAAGGAAAGAGCAACAAAGCTGAGAGAGAGATGTCAATATCCGCTCAAAAAGAGAGAGATATGAAGAAAGAGAGAGACAGAGAGGACAGAGAAACCCTGGGCCCGGGCTGGCTTGTCCTCGAGCGTTTTGGCAACCACATAGGTTTCTCTCCGCACCTTTCTTTTGTATTTGGGTAAATTTCATCCGCACCCTCAAACGCCTAACTTCAACGAGATCCCTCCCATTTCTAAAATTTGACCGCACTCGTTTGTACTCTATTTGATTTGAAAAAAAATTAGGAGGATATAAAGTTATAAAGATATAAAATTTTAGGGATAAATAAAATATTATATTTGATCAAGAAGAAAAATATGAAAGATGAAAAAATGAATGAATTAATTTTGCTTCTGACTCAAAAAAAATAATTTTTTCAAAATCAAAAAGAAAGTAGATGTAAAGTTAATTATTTGTGTTGACATATATATATATATATATATATATATGTATCTATATATATTATATATACATTAATTTTATATAAAATAAAATAATAAAATATGTATTTATATACATATTTTAAATTAAAAAAATATTTTTTTTCATCAAAGATATGGGTGAAAATTTTCGACTCAACACGATGATACGATTCGAACTCGACACGAATTTTATAACACGAACTTAATTTTAACTCGATACGAACTTGAAAATGACTTGACACGCGAACAAGAAATATAAACGGCTCAATATTTAGTTCAACCCGTCAAACTTAAAATTGACACTAGCAACCCATTTATTTAAAAATAAACATTTTCTTTATTTTCTCATTTTTACGATAACACAAAATTAGCACGAAACAAACATGTTTAATTAGTATTTATAGACATAAAATATTAATTATTTGTAACTATTTATTATGTATAGACATAATTATTATATAAAAAAATATTTTTACTTATTATTATTATTATATTTATTTAAGTTAATTTTTAGTTTATAGAAAAAATATGAACATGAATTCAATTAAGTGAAAATATAATATTAGCGTTAAATTTTTTTATTCAAAGTTTATGTGAATTAACACGAATATAAACACAAACATGACACGAAAATAAATAGATTAACTCGACACGATATAATTAATTAAATGAGTTGAATTAAGTTTGACTAATATTCGATAAAAATTCGTAATAAGTCACCACAAACCTGACGAGACACGACTTGACTCAATTGTCACTCCTAATATTAACCAGCACAAAAAAAAAATAATCATTATTTATTTTCCAGACACTCCAAGATAGCGACACATGTACTCGGTGTCAAAGAAATATTCTCTATTGTGATCACGACACGTGCTCGTCGGATCATGATCCTTCTTCCCCCGAGGAGGGTACTATGCATAAGGATCTACGACGCCAGTATGCACGGGTGCGACACGTATTCCTCGGTCGAATTTGGGAGGTACATCGGTCCCTAACCATACTAGGCCCTCGATACCTAGGTGTATCCACTACATCGGCGTTTCTGTTCCTGCAGGGTTATTGATAGACAGATCATCAGCCTGGGCTAGGCTAGATTAGTCATCATGACATGGTCTTACCTAGATGGTGTCAGGACGCACAGGAAAGCAGAAGACTCAACCAAAGGGGAGCTGGCATGTGGCGTACTGTGTCAGATTAGAGGCAAAAAGACCAGAATGCCCTTGTTGACACACGACTTGGGAAAGCAAGTATTTAATGCACCTTTCCCTTGATGAGACAGCATTTAATGAGTGAAGACCCAGAAGTGAAAGACAATGAATGTTCCTGTGACTGAGCATTTAAGATATCCCTACCGAGTGAAGGTCATTAAATGCTCAATAGACTGAGGGGTAATGCATTGGTTGCTCGGGGACCCGAGCAGTTAAGGAAGAGATCATTTCTCCTAAAAACCAATGCGCATGTTACCCACCTCTAATGATCACCTACTGACCATATTGATAACAATCATGAGTTTTTAAGATATACATACTCCTCACAAAACGCATGACGAGGTACGCAAAAACCTTTTTCTAAAACTTATACACAGTATTTTCTTCTTCCCCTCTCTCAAAAAACTGACTTGATCGTCGGAGGGGATACGCCGAAAAACACTCCGGCGCCCTTCTAACCTGTTTTTCTTTGTTCCAGGAACCTCCTTCAGTTTTCCAAGATCACTCAGGCGACTCATACCAACGATTGATTATCCACCTTCGACCCTCACAACCTGTTCAACTAGCAAGATTAACCACCCAATTTTCGGATACGTGTTCACCACGGAAGAGATCTGTTCTAGTGTTTATATTGTGTACGATCTTGCACGCATAATCTGGCGCCGTCTATGGAAAACGACTAGTTTTCCTAGTGTCTTCTCTAGAAAGAACAGTGACATTGGTGAATACTCGATAGAAAGGGAAAGGTCCCTAGCAAAAAAATCTCGAGTTGCAAGCTCCACGTCATGATGGAGGGAGGGGTCACACTGACTGTGACACCCCAAATTCATGGGGTCCGTTAATTTCCCTTCAACCTATGGAATGCCCGTGGATACCGTATAACTCGATATCGCACCGTTGTGTCCCATTTACCAGGATCCATAATTTAACGAAATCCGGGCAGAGTCTCCTTTGTACGGGAAGCTCTACCCCAAAACACAATCTGTGCAATCAACATTTACATGACCCATCCGAGGTCCAATATAATACCATAACCACACAGGGTCCATTTTATACGTAAACTTGACCACACCGGGTCCAATCATCATATTTATATCAAAATATGCAAGGTTATATTAAAACAGTCCATATATACTCTATTACAATTCCTTTACACATTACATGCCAAAATTTAATTACAAATCTACTTTTACAAAAAAAATGGATTGGAAGCCACAAGTCGACTTTTCTTCAACCATGTGACCCGGATTGTGAGCCGTCCATTGGTGCATGACCCACACCTGAAATGTTTCCCGTATAGGGTGAGCCAATGCCCAGTAGAATAATCCCTACAGAGGCTACTCATCACCTAAAATGCATATGTAATGTATAAATGCAACATTTCACAACAAGTATTCTCTCCAACAATAACATATAATACAATGTTGGAAAATCATGATGCCATGCCAAGTAATGAGATGAAACTCACCCATGCATGCTATCCCGAGCCCACACCGACTCCCACAACACAATGCGACACTTACGTGTAAAACAAACGTCTTTGATGAAACACATCCAAAGATCATTTTGAAATCAACCATATGTCATAAAACTAATTCATTCTTGGATGTTTCCCATCAAATGAATAATTTATATATCAAAATCATGTGCCTTTATGGGGTATCGGATTCAGGAATCGCACCTCCGGCTCCGTACGCCGTTACACTTTTCTGGAATTTCACCGCCGGTAAGTGTATGAACCAAGTGGTCGGGTTTTTCACCCGAGGGAATGTCTAGCCCTACTTGCTATACCCGACACAAGTTTTCTTATGCATGTCACCGTGCGACTCCATAGGACATTCCATCCCACTTTCCCGAGCCTACCATCAAGAACCAATGTTGGTGTTGATCACCCCATGCAACCCTACACCCACACTCATGCATGTAGCCCATGAATGTGATGTTAATTCCATGTCCATATTGCAATGCATGCCAAATGACAATTTTTAAATATCATTGTATACCATGACAATTAATATCATTTGCATATAATCACATAACCATTTCAAGTTTAATATATCCAAGAGCATATATCAACACTCCATCAACATGATAACACATAATACATGCTAATATTACATTTCATTCACAAGGCATAATATAAAACACAAAGCATGCCCACATGATCCCAATTTTCAAGGGATTACATAAATACTTCCATATACCAAAATCAAGCCAAGATTTTATATGGATCATTCAAACAAAATAAAAATCAGAATATATGATTTTTATATAACCAATTATCTAAACATTCAAGAAATCACAAACTAGCACTTTCTAACTACCAATTCACACTAAAATTGATCCTACCCATTTCCATAGCACCAATCATAATGGAAAAATATTAGAAATACCCAAAACAGCCCACATGAACCCTATGGACACCTTAGGTTAGAAATAGGTCCGAGTAGGAGGAACCCTACCTCTTGAAGCGTAAAGAATTTGTAGGAAGCCTCAAGAACAAGATTGAAGTCCAAAGCTTAGATTTCTCCAAAATCCTCCCTTTGAATCTTCGGTGAAAATCTTTGTTTTTGGTACCCACGTGTAGCTCTCGTCGCGTAGATCGACTTTAATTCTTGGCCCGACGAATTCCGACCGACGAAACTTCGAGAATCGGCGAAAGAAAGCTTAAAGAATTTTATTTTTTCTTCT